GTATTTTTTGAAGAACACGATACTGAAAAACATGTTTTTAATTTCTTGTAAAGAAATAAGTATTTTGCAGTTAAGTTCCGCCCTCTTGGTTCACGGCGCACAAAAAATATCATCACAATTGAGATAGGGTGGGTGGGCTGGCTTACATTTTTCCTTTTTGTTGTAGTATGTGTAGACTTCTTTTCACAACATGAAACTTAAAACATGTTTAAAATGGAAAATTTGTATAAGGAAATATCGATTTTGCAATTAGGCTCCGCACCATAATTACAAAATCCATATATCCTTACAAAAATGTACCATTTTAACCATGTTTAAGTTTTTTGTTGTGAAAAAATGACTATGTATATTAATAAAAAAGAAAAAGGTAAAATATATTGTCATGTTTTTTTTATTCGTCGTGAGCCAAGGAAGCGTAGCTTAATTGTAAAATCCTTATTTCTCTACAAGAAATAAAAAACATATTTTTGAGTGTTGTGCTCTGCAACGAATGCTATACTATATATTAGGAAAAAAACAAGCCAAAATTTAAGTCTCCCCATATCCATCCCAAGCTCAATTGTGATGAATTTTTCATTGGTTGCCAGACCGAGGGGCGGAGCCTAATTGCAAAATCGATACTTTCCTACAAAAATTTACCATTCTAAACATGTTTTACCTTTCTTATTGTGAAAAGAAGACTATACTACACATATGTATTAAGAAAAAAGGACAAAATGTAAGTCCTTGTAATTATAATACCTACTAATCTGTTTTTGAGATGAATAATAATAAATCTTGTTGATTTAAACGTCGAGAACTATCTTTAACAATGTATAAGTATTGACAGAAAGCTACAGTGTAGAAAATGATGGCAGCTATTTAAAATATGAGAGTTTCGGTGAACAGGTAATTAAATGGCTTAGTGTTAATGGATCTCATTATCTCTATCAAAATTTGATTTTCGTGGAATTAGTGCTGTCAACTAGAAAATATCCCCCCTACTTCAGGGGATTTTCCTTCAAGTTGGAAGCACTGCACACTACCGCATTTTGATTGGTTGAAAACCCAACGTCAACGGCAACATAACGGTTGATATAAACGACGTATACCTTCGCTGCGTCATAAATCGACTTTAGACGAATGAATGATAATTTTTTCATATTAATTTTCACAGTTTTAGATCGTGATATTGTTGATTTGAACGTTTTGGAGACAATGTCCTATTGGTCATTGGTATTTCTGAGTTTCAGATGCGACACTCAGTCTATCTGCAGAAGGGAGTTTTTGATATCCCTCCACTGAAATAGGTGTCTTATTTTTAAATTATCGGCTAAAGAAGTATTAAGAACCATTTGGAGTTCAGTAGAAAGAACGACGTGATCAGATTTTCCCTAAGGAGGAAGTTATTGTATTTCTGAGAACAACTGGGGATCATTTTTCAAGAATAAGTCAAGTAATGATGAATTTTTATGAAGTCTCTTTCGGTTTGGTTGGTTTATTAATTGATGAAATCCACAGTTAGTTAGCATTTTTAAGAAATCATCAGATCCAACATTTTGGCGTCAGGCTGGGGGCAGTTTAAGTGTGGGAAATTGAAGTCGTCAAAAATCATCAGGTTTTTCGAATGTAGCAATATGGTTTCTATAGAACTTAATCATGGTAGACTGAATTCTAGGTTAAATGAGTGAAGTTTAAGACCGACAGATTTGCAACCTAAAAAGTTTTCTAAATTGATGCGGCAACTACTGCCTAAGCGATATATCTTATCCTTACGAAATACAAAGTAACCGTATTTTTTTAAAAGATAATTTAGTGTCAGTCATTACAACACAAGAGTGATTTAAATTTTGAACAATAACAAAAAATTCATTAAAATTTGTCACTAGTGAATTCGTACAAATAAATTTCAAGCGTATAAGTGGGTCTGGTTTTTTGTTGCATTTGAGGGTACGATGGTCGGGACACATTTAATGTGTTTGGTGGTTAAGTCGGGTCCGCCGCCGGTTTTTTGTATTCGTCACTGTTCGATTCGCCATAAATGATCGTTTTTTATTCTTTTCATGCGTTCAAAAGTTATGTTTTCAAAAGTTTTTAGAGATATTTTGTGATCAGATTTTTCGTAAAAACTTTAGTAAGTTAACCGTGCAAAGCATCGACTTTTTGTGTTAATTTCATAACTAGTGTGCGTACATTTATTGCAGAACACTGATGCATTTTAATTGTTTTCGAGTAATCCTCATATGATCGTCAGGTGTGATTCCCGCGCACTCGTCGCAGTTCAACCTACTTATATCTCGGTCGTTTGCTGCTTTCGGGCAATTACAACACACAGTAATTGTCGATATGCATAACAATTAATTGTCGAAAAAGCAAATGAACAAGGAATAGTTAAGCTTAACACCCATGTCCTGATCAAGGTGACTAACTGAATAAGTAGTGGATAATAATCTGGATATGAATAGCTCGGTATTTGTGGTTACCTTTCCAATTTGGCGTAATTTTTTATTGTAAGCTAGACCACACGCAAAGTGCATGTTTTTATAATATTTATCGTCTTCTTACGGAGAGAAAACAGAGTACTATTGAAAAACTGAGCTCGGCGTTGTACGTATTAAAAAGGAGAGGGCCTAGGACTGATCTCTGAGGGACACCACTCAAAACGCTAGTAGAAATACTAAAATCGCTGCCTATTTTTACCTTGAAATCACAACCAATAACAAATAACTCAGTTCACGAAAGAAGGACTTGTATCAACAGTCGTTTTTTGAGGACTTGACCAAAAGCCTTGGCTAAATCAAAGTATTAAACATCCGCTGCATTCTAACTATCTATTTCCTAGGACCTCTCATATGTACAGCAAATTAGACTAAATTATATTTCTTTAGAAATTGAAGATTTTTTTCTTACATTATTAACAAAGTTGATTTATTACGAGGATAGTTTCGTAAATCACATTCATAAACTGATTTAACTATGACAATTTCCCAGTCATGTGGAAGAACTCGAACTTGAAGGGACTGATTGATTAGTAAAGATAAAGGTTTACAAAGCGAATCACAATTATTCGAAATGCTCGCTCAGGTCCAAGAGAGGTCAGAATTCTCAACCTTTTAAACTTACTATATGCTCAGATTTCAGAGACATATAACGATTTTAGTTGAAAATATTGCGGAAAAAGTGAAGGGTTCTGTAAAAATACATCTGAAAAGGCTTTCGCAAGCTTGTCTGACCCTGTTAATGTTCCACCAGCAGCTCGTGGTTGCAGGATAGTTACAGAACCAGACACAACACATCTAACATATTTGTAAAAACTTGTAGGATAATTTTTATCGGCTGCTTACTTATATATTTTTTAATGAAATTTTCGCAGTAACCATTTTAGACTTAACTCAAGTCCAGTCGTCAAATCTGGTTTAAAAATATTTCCCTTGTCCCAAACACGGGATTTCAACAATAACAATGTCCAATTTATATTTCATTCAGTGCGTCGAAATTTATAATATTGTTTAGTAATTCAAAGTACTTTTACTTAATACGCAACACACAATAGATCTAAAATTAAAGTCCTTTGCTGTGCTGTGAATCGAGTAGGTTGATCCACTAAATGCGACAAGTGAGTATTTAAGAGTAAATCACGCAACATTTGAGACGATATACTCAGGAGAATGCGAGATATTTATCGACTAGGAGACTTGAGGCATCTTAAAATCACTGAACAAAAGCTTGCTGTGATTAATAGCTGGATCTGATAGGACAGTAAATAAAAGAGAGTAGATATTTGAAAATTTTAAAAAAAGAAAATCAATTCCTTTCGTATCAATAGTCAAAGATGTCACAAAGAAACCAGAAAGCAACGCATTTGAAACATAAATATAAACAACACCTTCCTTTTAGCAACGCGATCGTTCATAAAAACAGAATATCCATCAATAGTAATCACACTATCGGGATGATCAACAGCAAAACAAAAGCCGAATGAAAACGGAATATATAAACACACCTTAATCGATTCAATTTTCCTACCGAAGCTGTTTATTAGTGCAAAATAATCAGTAATCAGAAATAAAAATTGAATTGTGTATTTTTTTTTCTAATATTAGATTAGAAAATAGAAATAGTCCAGTTTTGTAAAGGCTATTGTTTTCTGCTTAAATTTAAATTTACAAAATAGCAAACATAACGCAAAGCTATATTTTTTAAATTGCAACGTACTAAATTAAACTTACTCCTTCAAGCTAAAACCAATAGCGTTTACAGTTTTTATTTGGCTATAGCTAGACATAAGGAGGTATTAATTCTAGGCACATTTTGAAACATTTAATTCTATAAAATATCTCGGACAAGTCCCTAAGCTGAAGATCACTCTCGGTTTACCATAAAAAATTCATTTAGCATCCCGAATTTCAGGAATTTTTTCTTGGCTTCGAAATTAAATAGGGACTGTATAAAAAACCATTAACGACACACAAATCTAGCGTCCCCAGCGACAGCCGTCGGCTGTGCGAACTAGCTTAACTTATCCTGTAAAGACAATAACACAATCTTGTTAGTGAGTCTCGCTGTGGCTTTGGTTCGCTAATGCTAAGCACTATTTCACCATACACTGGTGGCAGATTTTTCATAATATGAAGGCAATAATTTAATGTGACAAGTGAAAATTCCCTAACCATGTTTAATATATTTCGACATTCTTCTATCACGTTCTGGGATCAAGAACACGTAAAGGGGAAGCGCCATAAATAGCAGGCCGACAGTAACGGCGTGTTCATGTCTTGGTTTCGATCGGTGCAAGCGTTTTGCAGCGGTGAATTTTTTAATTAGGGCGAATGCGATCTATCACAGATAACAAATAGCAACAAGGCACTTATGTTTTTAAATTAGCTTGGAGTATGTGGTATGCAATAGCGTGGCCGAGAGTTGAAAGAGCCAAGAGCGATTTCAGTCACGCCACAGATGGGCAAGGCTGGCGCATTTCTATCATGTTCTCCTTGTTTACTAACTGTGTTTTATCCTTACAGATCGGAGACATCCCCAATCCCGAATTAAGGATAATCACCAGCGTTTTCAACCGAGTGACGTACAAAGGTGAGTCCTTAAAGGAGATAAATTCCGCCGGATGAAAAATATTGCCTGATTTATGGTTAATTAAAGAAGAGGTCAATCATTCGAGTCACGCCATAATATAACAAACCCGGCTATATTATTTACGACACGGCATTTAGATGAACTAGTTTGCGTGTCACTTGGACGGTGTGTGGCACTTTTACCATAATGAAACATATCTAAGACTAACAAGTTGGAGGTGCGTGTGGAGATCTAACGCCGTCTATTAAAACTCCATTAGTTATTCCACTTCCGTTAAGAAGTCAACACGTGACACAAACAAGCGTCACACAGAAACAATTATCAAAGTCGCCCTCGGGTTCATTTATCAAACGATGCTCTGTCACCACTACACTTCCGAGCATTAAACGCTATCCATTTACCGACCCCTGCCTCTATAAACCGATATCATAATTAATAACAAACAATACGACAATTCATTTAACCTGCGGTGCTGTAAACAATACCTACCAATAACGCCTAGACCGCAAAGACTGCTCAAGATAATAAATCACAATGCTCGATACGCTTGTTTAAATTATTAATAACGATGCGCAACACAATCCGCTCGACCGTAATGGTCAGACATGCCTCTCGACTTGTCTCGACTCAGTTCTCCACCACATGTCTGAAACCAAGATCTTGTAAATTTTTATTGCACTTTTATTTGCCCGTATCTCAAGTTTTATTTAACAATAATAAGCCTCTTATTAATGAAGATCTTGATTTGAGGTACAAATATAAAACACCAAAAATGATATACACACGCGAGGTAAATTTTGTGGACTAATTTTAGTGTAATTTGTTACTTGACAATAATACAAGAAACAATATTAATGTCTCTAATAACATAATGACTTAAGTGTTAATGTTAGAACAATTTGTAAACTTTGGAAAATTACTATATTACTGTTTTCTTTTGTTTTAAACTTGAATCTTAATTCTACTGTGCTGATAAAATAGCTGCTCAATTTCACAATTCTTCACAGCTCACTTCTCCCGTTTCCACAATTCAGCCATCCTGAAATGTCATTCGATCCAGATGATACCCAGGGTTTCAGAAATTGGGTACACGTCTTTTGTGGACCTTTATGACTACTTATTTTTATTGCGCCGTTATTATCATTGTTTTTGATTTTTATTAACCCCGGAATGTACGTCTCCCACAATTGTACTCTTCTATTTTCCTGTTGTATCTTAGCAATTGGCCCTTTGACGCCTTTCTTTACTAAGACTTTCAAGTATGTTGGCAATTTTTTCTTCCAATTTTTCAACACATTCGCAAACTTGTTATTCCACTCGAAAGATTTTCAGCTGAATTTAAACTGACAATAAAAGCAGTTTATTTCCTCACTTTTATTTATTTCTATGTTTATCAATAGGTGAACCCGTGACTAAAATTAACGTCGTCTCAGTCGTTCATATTTATCACTATTTAATTTTTCAGTCCGTTTTCGGGCTATATTTTTGATAATTACCACTTTTTTTGCAAGGTAATTTTGTTTCTTCATACACAAATACTTTCTTTGTAGTTTTTTTCATCATCGCTCCCTATTTTAATCACATTGTAAGAAAACATCTTTCTTTTTTCTTTATCATTAGTTCAAAACTGTTAATTGGTTTTACACTTTTGCCCAGATTTTTACATTTTTTGAACCTTCCATTTGTTTTGGGTAATCGTTTTTGTTATAATCTTTATCATCTTATGCACCGCGTTCATCTTCGTCTTTAAAATCTTAACCATCGATGTACAGCGTTGTCGATGTCGCCGTCGTCATCGCTGTCTCTGTTCGCTGACAATCGTCTTCGTTGTCTCGTCGTTTACATCATCATCATCATCCCTGTCATTTTGATCAACGTAATTGATATTAAAAAAATTGGTACCGATTTTTAAAGCTAGTTGTTCTTTTATCATCTTATCTTCACAATCCACTGTCAATGGAATCCTACTGAAATTCGTTGGATTCCCATTAACTTGTGATTTGTGTGTCTGAGCTTCTATTTCAATAGCTTTCTATCTGGAAAAAGATTCAGTCCATGGCTTGATTTCCGACGAGCTCCCAGAACAGTGGAATCTTCAAAATTCCTGACAAATCTTCTTATAATTCACTTTTCCTGTTTCAACTATTACTTTGAAACAAGATAACGACCTCATTTTCTTACTTTTAAAAAAATAGTAGAAAGTTATTTCGCCAAAACTTCCCACGCCGTTGAAGTCTAATCCGAGAAATCCAGCTTTTTTAAAAAATTATAAAATTTGATTTTACGATTTTTGTTTTGTGATAACCGCTATAAAGTAAAAACCAACGGCATAAAAAACACCCCCGCAGACCCTGCGTTCTTGGAGTTTGCGCTGCCAAGTACAGACAATGTACAATATATTTGAAGCAGATAAATGGGATAAAATGTCCTTTCACCACTAGTAACAAACTTAACTCAAGTGTTTTTTTATACATTGAAAAAACGTCACGTAAAAACAGAGGACTAAAATTACTGATTAATTAATAAATGGGGTGACTCGTTCTTAATTTGGTCAATAAAAAATTTGTGATGACGTCATTAACATAAATAATACTTACTAGTCATAGCACAAAAGAAAACTAGTCACAATTTGACAACAATCGGTCCGGTAGTTTCGAAGATTAAGTGTCTAATAAAAATGGATACAGACGGCAGACAAACAGACAGACAGAGGGAAACAGGAGACCAGTTTTTTCTTACTCTAGAGGTCATCACACCTCAAGAAAATGCATATGAAAGTGGCAATTCGCCTGATGAACTCGACTACTATACTTTCTTAGCTTACGCTGGAAAAGTAAAAATTTTTAATTAACAATATGTATGTGTATCTCTGCATAAAATGAAAATATTTTTAATCTTCAAGAAAAATGAGTCTTATACGATGTTCAGTGTGTCGTTAAACGTGGCTTTAATCGCTATTGTCGTCACTAACGAGCGAGATATTGCACGGCTAAATAAAATTTGAGACGCCCAATACACATCAAAAGACGGTTACTTATATTTTATAAAGTTATCTACTAAGTTTGAGATACACTTGCAACTTTCCTTTCAGAAAAACGATACGTGTTTGCGCTATTAATCCATCAGCTCGAAATAGGTTGAAATTATTATTCGATGAAGATAAGAAATTTAGTAGATATATTTTTAGACATTTGATAACGGTAACTGAAAGTAAAAATACAGCTTATATTAAGTTTACTATTTAATGAAAAATAACTTAAATAACTTTATACCTCACTTTAGCATTCATGTATCATTTAATTAAACTATTTAGATTACCCCTCGTGTAGTGACTTAACTAGCTAGAATCCTGCAACTCGGCTTTAAAATCGTTAGTAACATACGACAATTAACAGGCAAAACTAGCTCAGCACTGCCGGGTTTTCTAGGTAATTACTAACACAGTGTCCATGACAATAAACTAGCCGAAAGTGATCTGTTTTAGTCTGTATACAACCAATTATTTCTCTACGACTGACTTTATGATTACTTCTTCAACATATAGGTTTGTTATTGAAACCTTTTCCATATTAATTACTCGCGGTAACGTAACACCTAAATCTTTCCAATATCAATTACCTAACTCTCACAGCATTATGCAAGACCTGTCTCTTGACCATATTCAGCTTTACTTATTTAAGCCCCATCCGGGTCCGTCGCCAAAGGCTTCTTTGCAAAACCCTAGCCTAGCTTATTACAACTTCGGTAGCTTCGGTAATTCCCGAGAGTTTAAATGCAACCATTCCTGCACTGTCAGATGCCTCGACACGAAAGTAAAGAATGCACTTTTAGTCCTCAGAACTGTCGATCGCGAACTAATGGACGCCCAGATAGGTATTAGTCCTGTCAATTAATTCAGTCCAAGTACCCACAAAATATACCATCCCAATAGGTGTTTGACTGCACTTTTAAAAAAGACGCTTCTTTATTCTAATATATCGGGGTTTAGAGCTGGCGTATTTTAATCAGTAATACAACTTACGCAGCTTAATTGCTTTAATGTCATTGGATTTATTACAGAAAGTGCAGACAAAACGCACTGAAACGCATCGCCGGCATAATCAGGACGGTTAGAATTCGCAACCTCATCATATTTCTCTGTAAAACTCGTTCTAAAAGTGGGAAGAACGCTTTGATTTTATTATTCTTTATTACTTTGTCGGAACATCAATTTGGCTGCTGTTAGTAATTTAACGCTTGTGTTTAATTTTTACAATCATATTTTACACTAACGTCTAGCCTGTGTTTATTTCCGTCTTAGCTATTTTGTTTTTCTGAAAATGGTTTATAACGATTGAAATTATAGCACCCGTTAGTTATATTTATTTTTTGTCGTCCCTTAAACAAAAGACTAAAAAATCTATAAAGCTATTCATATACAACTTCCCTCGTCATTGAACGATAATGTACCACCCACGCCGGGGTGAATTTTTCAGATCTATAATAATATTTTTCGAAATGAAATCACCTTTAGATGGAAATAAATGATTAATTACTTTTAGAACAAAGTAAATGTTTTTGAATTGTTTACTTCTATAAAGTAAAAACCAGCGGCATAAATAATACTCCCGCAACCCCTATGCCGTGGAGACGCAAATTCCAAAGGAACGCACAAGTACGGACCATGTAAAATACATATATTTAAAGCAGATAACCAACGGTAAAAAATGGCTTCTCAGCGATAATAACATGCTTAACTTGAAGTGTTTATGTTTATGTATCGGAAGAATGTCACGTAGAAATTCGTTTGATTTGAATGCATTTGTTGCCTCAAAACAGAGGATAACATTATTAATCAAGCCACAATCGAACAAAATTACGTTCTGAATGTTATTACTATAATTCTTATTTTATCATTATTAAATAAAAATCAGGTGACTCGTTCTTAATTTGATTAATAAAAAATTAGGGTGCGAATACTTTTATTAAATTTATTTTATTAGATTTAAAGTTGATAAAAA